GGTAAATCCATTTTTGCAAGTTAAAAAAACTATTAACATCGATATTTTTTACTTGGACCTACTTTTGAAGAGTACGACCCTGATAAATTAACTTTTTTTATAAAAAATATATATTTTTTAAATTATTATAATTTTAGTTACATATTTTAAAATAATTTGCTTTACCACAATAAAATATACTTCAATTTTTAGGGTTGACCTATGACCTATTTTAATTTTGGGATTAAAATAAACGGTTGACCTCCTAGAAACATAAAATGAAAAAAAATTGGAATGTTCGCACTTTTGGGTTAAACGTATTTTTAACATACCGTGAGTAGCTTTTGTAAACTTTATTTAAATCTTGTTTATTATTTAAAATTTGTGGTTAGCTTTTTAATTAAATAAAACCTATTTGCCCAACTAAAATGGAACAAAATGCACATAGACGTAGCAAATCTTTCAATCATTTGGGGGTGAGATGTAATAAAATGCCGTAGACTGTAATTTTTTATACACCCACACCCCCTTCGCAACGTTCCTGAATAAGCTTTTAATAAATTATCGGACATTCATTAAATGAATGTTCGCTAATTCTGTTTAACGGACATGTCCGTTGCAGTGTTATGGCCCATAAATGATGGGTAATTCTTTAGAAGTACGGATACTATGTAGATAGACGATTACGTAAAAATGAAATATTTAAACCTGATAGAGTTAATTATAGAAGACACTGAAATGTCTCCAGAAACTAAAAAATAAATTCTTGATTTAATTGCTAATAAACCCCAAGGAAGTACTCGCAGAATTGTAATATAAGAAGAAATTGTTTATTCTATTGTATAGAAAATTTCACTGGAACAATTATTACCATATTCACAGGGTGCATGCACTGGATATTTTCTTTCTAAGTCTTTTGTCAGTTTAGAATTCCTAACTTTTTAACGAACATTCCCTTTACTGAAGATTGATGAAATAGTGAATTTTCACAATAATCAGGTTTGGCCTGAAGAAAACCCTCTATTCCTATGTTGAATTCAAATCATCAACAAAGATTTGAATTAACGTTTGGGCGGGAATTATTGACAATGGACTTCACGCACCTCTCATACTGTTAAACCGACTGGATGCTGTTAAGTACCTAAACTTTCTGCAAAATATTTTAACATACTGTTAAACCGACTGGATGGTGTTAAGTACCTAAACTTTCTGCAAAATATTTTAACAGATTTAATAATAGTATATTCTGTAACAAGTTTGGAATACGGCATATTCCGCTCGAGTGAAAAGCCGAAGGCGAGTTTGACGATTCCACGAGAGGGGAATATGCAAGTCCAAACGTGTTTCAGACTATACTTTTTCTACGTTTCCAAAAAATACTATAGACAAATAATTTAATTGGAAGAAAGTGAGGTTGGATCGGTCTAAAATTTGTTAGATATTAAAAACAGAGATGTCGCCACGAGTGTATATTCTGTAATCAGATGATAGAATATTTCATTCTGTAACACTTTACGGAATAAATGTCATTCCATAGATAAAAGTGATATTAGAACGGTCATATTCCATAATAGGAGTAGAAAAAATATATACCATACTCTATCAGAATCCATATTATGTGGTATATGTAGACGGAGTACCACTATATTTTATACGCCTTTTGAGGGAAAATCTAAATCAAGTTGTTACTGAAGATTAATGGGACATGGAGGACTTTTTCACAGCGTTCTCCTAACCTTAATCCCTTAGACTTTTATGCCTGGGGCCATTTTAAAACTCTTCTTAATGCAACTTTAGTAAATACTATTAAAGAGTTAAAAATGGATGTCAAACCATTAGAAATCGATGAGGGACTTTAAATCGAATAATTTAGGTGAACGGGATATATATTAGCATTAAAAATTAATATTGTTACAAAATATTTTTTTTAAGTAGTTTGATTGTAAAAGATTTGAACATCAAAGTTGACGCTAAAAAATTGTTTCCATTGTTTATTTGATTCTTGATTTTTTTTTGTATACAAACCTACCTATAAAATTGTACAGCATTCTTTGTGAAGATTTTTGCCGTTTAATTTTTATTATTTTTCGATTTTACACAATTTTATAAATACCTGTTCAAGTTTTTTGTTTTGGTTACTTTTTGTTAACTGTTATAAATTTAAAGAAATAAACCTAATGCATTTATTTTGTTGGTCGTAAGTTTTATTTAATTACTTTTGACGTTTCTAAAAACCAATTAGTCATTTGTGTACGTTTTTGTCAATCAAAACATAATTATAGTGGAAATAATCTACTTACATTATTTCCGGGACAATACAAGTCATTAATATTAGATCCAAGAAAATTACAGTATTCCATTGTTACGCATTTTATTACAGCGACAATGTTTTTATTACCTTGTTTACACGTTACTAAGCATTTTGATGCTTTTCTTGATTTAACATTTGTTCACATTTAAATCCTGTGTTTGTTATTATAATTAAAATAATGAATTCTCAAACCCCAAAAGATTGATGGGGTGAAGTAGATGATAAAGAAATTAGGGCAAGTTTTAATAAAAAATGTTTATTAAAGTCTTTTTATATTTTCAAGCACCAAATTTAAATTTTAAATGTTAAACTGACAATTCGTTATATCTTAAATTTTATTATATTTTCTTGCTAAATATAACTCATGGTATGATTAATAATGGATGATATTTCCTGCGGGCTCATGAAATCAGAAACTCGGTTATTATCGATAATTATCATACCTACCACTTGTTATATTATGGGTGACAATATTTTAAAATGTTTTTTTGATTTGTCTTTGTTAAGGCATTGTTTTTATGTACGTCAAAAAATAATACAACGAAAATCGCACGAGAGATCGATAAATTAAAAATAATTCTTCATATCTTTTTTCAAACCTTTTGCCATTTGGTAAATGAACAATCTATTTCATGGCAACAGGCTTTTAAAAATCTGTCCAATTATTTTTAATTAATTCTGTTGCGATACTATTACTGAAAAGCTAAACTGAAATTTTAATTATCAGGCTTAATTTTTTGACATTTAGATGAAGTTGACAAAAGCTATCTTGATCATGTTAAATTTTATACATTTTTAAAGTGATTTTTCCTTTTAGACCTTTTAAACAAAAATACCTTTGTTATCTAAAATTTAATAAAATCTCGTAAAATGAAATCCAAATACCCAATATAGACCAGGATCGATAATTTTTGAAACCAATTAAAATAACAGTAGGATGAAACCCATTGGAAAAGGAGAAGAATATAATAAAAATGAAAGGAAAAATAAATTACGGGCGATCTGACTTCGGGAAGTGGGAGGGGGGGGTTTAAGGGTAAAAAATGGTTTATCTCGATTTCCGGCAAAACTACAAGTCCTATGGAAAAAAGTTAAATGGCAAAGTTGTAGGTAATAAAAGGATCTACAACTTTTGTAATTACAATTTTTTTACATAACCTCAAAATTTATGTGAAAAATTCAAAAAACCAAGTTTTTGGTTTTTTATTTTTATCTTTTTCAAAAAAAAATTTTTTTTCACGAAATTTGGTGAAAACTTACCTTTTTATGTCCCAAATACACTGTAATTTATTTGATTTGAATTATTTATTATTTCGCCTTATTTTGACTTAATATCAAAAAAGCACCCTAATTTTCAATCGAAAATTCTCGCGTCAAAATATCAGCTTTTTTCAAAAAGTCGGTGTGCTTTTTGTTCGTTGAAATCTCTACTTTCTGATGGTGTAGAAAAAATATACATTACTATGGTAAATGTTCTCAGAAAATGCAAAAAATATTATAATGAATAACGAAAAAAACTCGAATTCGAAAAGTACAATTTCATCAAAAAAATGTGATTGTTGCAATTTTTTTAGTTAAAAAGTTTATTTATTAAATTCTAATAATATTTATGTCAGAAAATCTCATAAAATATAAAAATACATGAAAATCATACTATTGAATGTAGATACTTCATTCTGATTACGTTATTCATTATAATATTTTTTGTATTTTCTGAGAACATTTACCATAGTAATGTATATTTTTTTTACACCATCAGAAAATAGAGAGTTCATCGAACAAAAAGCACACCGACTTTTTGAAAAAAGCTGATATTTTGACGCGAGAATTTTCGATTGAAAATTAGGGTGCTTTTTTGATATTAAGTCAAAATAAGGCGAAATAATAAATATTTTAAATCAAATAAATTGCAGTGTATTTGGGACATAAAAATGTAAGTTTTCACCAAATTTCGTGGAAAAATTTTTTTTTTTGAAAAAGATAAAAATAAAAAACCAAAAACGTGGTTTTTTGAATTTTTCACATAAATATTGAGGTTATGTGAAAAAATTGTAAATACAAAAGTTGTAGATCTTTTTATTACCTACAACTTTGACATTTAACTTTTTTCTATAGGACTTGTAGTTTTGCCGGAAATCGAGATAAACCATTTTTTACCCTTAAACCCCCCCCCTACCACTTCCCAAACTCAGATCGCCCGTAATTTATTTTTCCTTTAATTTTTATTATATTCTCTATACCTATATGAATGAATGAATGAATGAATGAATGAATGAATGAATGAATGAATTAATTAATTAATTAATTAATTAATTAATTAATAAATGAAATTTATAACGGCAAAAAACTTTGCCATATAGCTTTGGGTGGATGAATAAAACAAATAAAGAATCTAAAATTAAGGAAATATAAATAAATATCACATTTGTTATTAATTTTAATTAAGTTTATAATGGCAAAATCGCTATAGTTGTATGAATAAAATTCAATAACAAATTTTGTTTATAAAAGGTTTGTAAAAACGTTTAGGGTAATGAAACTTTAATAAAACCAATTAATTTGTAAAGCAATAAACTGCTTTTACGACACCATTTGCATTGTAGACGGTAGAAAAATAGTTCTTTTATATTTTCTTTAAATTAATTTTAATTTAAGTTTTAGTTGTGATTACCTATATAATATATTAATTATATTACATTACTTTTATTAGACTCTCAACACAATTTCAACTGAGAAGAACTCAACAATCGTGTTCCCACTACCGATTGATATACTTTCATATTTTATGAGGGCTCAACAGGCTCAACATTCTTCTGAGTAAAAGAAAGTTTAAAAAATACTTAGCAATCATATTAATTAAAACCTATTTTGGTTATTTCGGAATTTATTTCATACTACCCCTAAAATGTGTTTATATTATACAATTTAAAATTTTAATCTTAAAAATATTAATTTTTTTTATGTTTTTTTAATTATTCAATAGTGAATTTCTAAATAAATCATCTACCCATACTATGAACATAATAAGATAAAATAAATTCCAAAATTACCTTAAGGGACACCTTAATATTCATATATCGAATTTTTTCGTGTTTATTAATTTAATATTGTTGCCATTTCTTTTATAAATTTAGTAATATTTGTATAATATTGCTACTAAAACTGTCTAGAAGTAAATAAATATATATAATTGTAAAATTTTTATTAATAATGTTTAATTAAAATCGTTAATTTTAACATATCAAAAATTATAAAGTAGAACTGAAGAAGTTATACCGTAAAATATTTATTAATTTAACGAGAAAATTTTAAAATTAATAAGAAACAACTAGAGGGTTATAAATATTTTAATATTAAATAAAACCTTTTCTCTATTTTTTAAACTTTACATCGCATTTGTATAGGTATTTTAATATTAAGTGATTTTAAAAGTGAAGTTTTAAAATAACAATCCTAAATTATAAATTAAACCAAATCACAATGTATTTTTAAAAGCTTTAATTTAATTATATTGTTATTTATTTTGGTAATCAAAATTAAAGGATTATAATTTATTAGTTTTTAAAAAGTAAATTTTCCGTACTTTTGGTAAATAGTTTTAGTTAAAAAAGTTGTTTTTAATTTAGAATAAGAATTATTTTAAGCATAAAAATAACACATTAATCTCAATGATTATCACTTATTATAGCAATTTTATTGTTTGTTAAATCTTTTGAACTTTTATTACTATCGATTAATAAAATATTTAATTTATTAGTTAAAAGCTATTTATTCAATTTCAAGTTTAATGAACTGGTATTTTTAATGATTATTACAGACATACAACAAAACATATAAATGCTTAATTACTTTTATTCGAGTTTGAACGAAGTTTGATACCGCAACGTCATCTCACGGCAACGGTGGGCAGTGCATGGCTGATGACGTTGAGTAAAAACATACAGCGTTGGAACTCTAATCATTTATTTAAATTAAGCAACATACCACCCTTAAGTTTGCTTTAGGCACACGTTTGTATAACAATCTTATACATATATATATATAAAATAAATTTTATTAAAATTGAGGGTGGACCAAACAACATTCATTTTCTATATTATTATTATTTTTATTATTATATACCCAAAATATTCTAATTAATAGTTTTTAGTTCGTGGCTAAGTTATAAAAGTAGTTAAATTTCAGGGTGGTACATTATTTTGTTACTTAGTTTATATATAAATAAAAGCAGCTTTGAAATCATTAATTAAAAATTACACACAGTTTAAATTTTCTTAATTTTCTAGAATAAACATAGATTATATTAAAAGCATGTCAATGTTTTGCACGAAAATTAAAAGCACAGGTGTTTATTTTTGTAATAAAGATGTGATTACCATGCAGGGAAAAATAAAACTATAGTATAATCACAAAAGTTTTTCACAAAATTATTTTATTATAAATTCAATATTTGGTAAAATTTGTACCATAGTTTAGACGCCCCTGTATTATTTTTGAGTTTTGAGGCATTTGCCAGGTCACAGTTAATATGGCTTAGTTATTCTTAACCATAGCTTAAGTACACAAAGCTTTTAAATCGTATTAATAAAATAACATCATCATCATTAATCTCAATCTATGATATTTAAATAATTTGTTTAAAAAATTAAATTATAAAAAAGTGCATACTTTGAGCAACAATTTATAATCAAGGTATTCACGGCTCAGTACTTTACTAAGATATCAGACTTATCTTCTACACTATATCTATTAATAAGTACTACGATAAAATTAGGTAATATTTATCTAGCTCGTGTAAATGGTGTATGCCTGAAGCTGCTTTAACCAAAATGTTGACATAGTGGTTAGTTTCATTAATCATAATAATCATAATAATTTTCTAGGAATAAATTTTAGATGTTAGGCTATATAAGTGGAAGATTTGTAAGGTATTTAGGTAAATTATTGAATACCGGGTTTATATTTTTAGCTTTTAATTAAAAATATTAACCTAAAACTTAATCGCGCGTATTTTAAAAAGCTTAAATGTACTTATTAAAAATATTGATTATTAATCCTGTTTAACGCTCAAAAATTCTAATAATTTTTATTTTGAACAGACTTTGACTAAAATATCCCATGGAAAAAGCTCAACTATATTATTTCCAGTCCCTTTGAATATGATGTCGTTATTTATGGGACGTACCAAGGAAAAGGAATAAAGTCTGATTTTATATAATTTTTATAAAATATTATTGTATGTTCCAATGTTTAAAAAAGATTAAATATTATATTACGTGTTTAGTCTTCCTTTTTTATTTTAATACTTTTTAGTTGTATTTCTAGCCAAATTATTATTATGTTAAATTTTTAATGTATATATATACAATAATACAAAGTCTAATAAATAATGTACCTAATTCTTTATAATATTGTGATATTAAAACCAAATTAAATAAACCTGCTGCTATAAAGAATCTATAGGTTAATAAAAACGAATAATAAATAGAGGTCCCATTTAAGATTTAATTTAATTTAATTTAAGATTTTATAACCCTGTAATGTATACATCCAAAATTTAGTTAATTTTTTCATAAACATAAAGTAAAATTAATGTCGTCTACATGTATTTAATCAGTAAACTATGATTTTCCTTATGCTATCAGTCTATCTGAGCAAAAGTAATGCCAAGGGAATTGATAAAAAAACTCACAAATTAATTGCAAATAAACAGTCCTGCTGTATGTATATTTTTCCATAATTATTATTTATTCATATCGTAAATGTTTTCGGCTATAAGATATGTCTATGTCTGTAATAATCATTTAATTTATAATGTTTTTATTTTTAACAAACATTATAAAGCGTATTTAATACTATGTTTGTATTTTTTATTAAATTAATTATACGTCAAAAAAATTTAAAAGAACATACGTACATTGTACACAATAATTTTTTTAAGCGTATAAAAATAAAACACTCATAAGCCTATATAGAAAAAAGTAGTCAAATATTTTATTTTTCACTTAGCTGTTATTTTGTTATAACGCCTAGGAACCGAGATATGTAAATCCATAATAACGATGCGTAATAAGAAGGCGTAATGGATTCATTACGCCCTCTCATTTTTTTCGGGATGAGTGTTGCTCTCCGGGCGTAATTATCTTAATAACACCGTTATAAAATAATGAAAATACAATAAAATTACATAGAAAGAGTGGTTTCACTGAAGAATAAATTTATGCACATAACCTATAATATCAAACGTCAACATTATGTACCTAAGACAAAATGTCAGAAACTCAAAAACTCCATTGTATAGATAATTAAATTAAACGCTTAAAAAAATAATATAAAACAAGGCGGAGAAAGCATATTAACTGCCTCGCTGAAATCTGCAGCCTCGTATGCGCTTTCTCCACCTGGTAAATAATGTACTTTATGTAGGCACGTTTAAATTTTATATAACAGGATAATTTAGTCTTTTTTATTAATGAAATAAATTATAAATACCACAAATTAACTAAAATATTTTGAAAAACTAACATTTAACATCAAAATTGAAATGTAAAAATAAGTTAGACTTATTTATTTAAAATTGTCTATAATTTATTAGTAGTAGTGGTAAATATCTTTATTGGAATAAACCTAAAGGCTAATGACCGACATCTAATTTATTATTTAATTTAAAATAACTACAGTAAAATTGTATAAAATAATAATAAAATTATTTATTTTAATTATGTTATTTTTATTTTAAAACTTGGCACATAAATGTATTGCAAAGAAAGGTTTTAAAGACCAACATTTGTAGGTATTTAATGTTTTATGATGTTTCAATGAACGATAGTTTATTAAGATTGTGTCGATGTTTTTAGATATTAAAGAACTATGTACTTATTATAATTAATTCTTATGACAATTGTTTTATTAAAAAGGTGTTTTTAATTTTGTGGTACAAAATGAATGATGGTTAAAATCTGGCCTAATCACGATATAATTTTCACCACAATTTATCACACCTTTAAAATTGCAGCACACTAACTACTAACTTTACCACATTGTTCATTTTGTAACAAACTTTTCATCTTTAATGTTATACGAATATATTCAATATATCTATAAGCAAGCAACCTGTTTTTTTTCTGCTTTCACATCTCTAAAAAGCTTTCATTAAGTCTTTTAACATTTTTTTCAACATAAAGCTCTAGAATTGAGTTGAGCTCAATTGGATTTATTACAGTAGTTAAGTTTAAGTTATACGTTTAGTATTTGTTGGTAGATATCAATTCTGGAGCATTACATTACATAGCCTATGTCCTAATTTATTTTTATTATTTAGACTTTGAATACTATATCTGCCGAGAAGAATTCAACTATTGTATTCCCATTGCCGATTGATATGTTAACTTACTTTATAAAAGCTCAGGATGCTCAAAATGCAGCGAAAAACTCTTAATAATGTTTAAGAATACTAACTAACCTTAAAATGGTAAGTATAAATGAACCTTCGATTTTTGACGTTAAAAGAAAAACTAAGTAGGTATTGGAAAATATTATATATATACAATAATATATTACTTATTAATATCAACGTCATAGATTAATAGCGTTATAAAACGTTATAGAAAAATTTATTTGTTAAATTATGTGCTATTAAACATTTCAGGCTGAAATTTTCAGCACCGTTTTATTAAAAAATCATTATCTCGTAAACTGTTTACTAAAATCAGACAATGTTGAAAAATTAATGCAATAAGAAATTACTTCTTTCTTTTTAATACACCATCGCCGATGATGCCGAAATTTAAAAAATTGTACTCTAAATTCTGTACTTAAGATTTAGAAACCATTTTTGTGCTTGCCCTTTGGACAGTGGACCAAAATGGCAAAAAGTGGTCAAGCACCATATTTTAGTGGTATTAATTTTGATCCTGTAGAAATTTGTATTT